CAGCAGCGACGAGACATTGGTTCCAAGAAGCAAGATAGGGGACAGGATGGGTACATTATTGGTAGATGGCAGGGATTGATAACATCTGATAAGATGCCATAGGGGGTCTTGGAAAGCGAGGATTACCAAATTCATAACACCGGCCACAGCAGCGACGAGACATTGGTTCCAAGAAGCAAGATAGGGGACAGGATGGGTACATTATTGGTAGATGTCAGGAAAAGATAAGAGCTGATAAGATACCATAAGGGCTCTTAGAAAGCGAGGATTACCAAATTCATAACACCGGCCACAGCAGCGACGAGACATTGGTTCCAAGAAGCAAGATAGGGGACAGGATGGGTACATTATTGGTAGGTGGCAGGAAAAGATAAGAGCTGATAAGATACCATAAGGGCTCTTAGAAAGCGAGGATTACCAAATTCATAACACCGGCCACAGCAACGACGAGACATTGGTTCCAAGAAGCAAGATAGGGGACAGGATGGGGACATTATTGGTAGGTAGCAGGAAGTGATAAGAGCTGATAAGATACCATAAGGGCTCTTAGAAAGCGCGGGTTACCAAATTCATAACACCGGCCACAGCAACGACGAGACATTGGTTCCAAGAAGTAATATAGGGGGCAGTATGGGAACATTATTGGTGGGTGGCAAAAATTGATAACAGCTGATAAGATAGCCAAAAAAATTCACGGCAGAGTTATAGCAACACTGGGAAGTGTTCCAGCAAGTAACTTAGAGGTACTCATGGAACATTAAAGGTGGGAGATAAATTCTGACAGCGTCCGACGAGGGTTTTTGGGTGTCCGTGTCTGCTCACATCACCGTAGCGAAAGAATGAATTAGCGGGTTCTTAATGAGTCAAGATGTTTTCCCTCAGCAAAATCCCTCAGTTTAGCGGTTTGAATTGCTTCCACCGCTAAACGCTCGAGTTCCTCGAAAAAGAATGTATGGAGTTGTTGCCCAGTGAGGAATGATAAGAGCCACTGTGATTTCGATATTTTTACCATCGCAATCCTTCCAACCGCTATGCTGTCCGATTTCCAACGAATGGTAATTTTAGAAATATGATATGAGCCTAACATTGGCAAGTGTTCATTAAAAGGGAGAAACACCATGAAATAGGCCGTTTTGGAGACATAGGAATTAGGCTAAGTATTACTGCTCAGCACAGAAATCTGTCAAGTATCAGTAACATAGGTTTAACCCTGCGCGCAGAAATGCGCGTCAGCCAGGCTGGTTTTCCTAAAATTAGGCGTCAACTACGTAGCAAGTACGGTAGGCGTCAGTGATGCAATTACGGCCAGCCGTTCTCAAAGTTGTCCCGTTTGCATACCTCGTTTCCTTCGGCTTGGTTTTTTTTGGCGCCCACGTTTTCGATTGATTTGAAATTGATTGGCTGGTCAAAGTCAAAACATGCCCCACGTAGCTGCTAGGCAAGGTAATAAGCGAAAAGATTCTATAGGGGTCCTGTAGGAAACTCGTCTGCCAAAAGACCAGACCTTGATGTTGAAAAGGAAGACTTTCATCCTGAAGATTTATCCAAGTTTTCTGCCAAGGAAATTCTTTATGCAATTCAACAGCGGAATAAGGACCCAATTATCGATCAAATGCTCGAGGCATTGGTAACAAAACTCCCGCAAGAGATTTCAGAGGGAATTGACGCTGAGAAGCGTGCCCGTAGCCTTGTAATTTCTGGACTTCCTGAAGCACCGGTTGATATGCGTCCATCTGCTAGGCAAGATGACCTTGACTCTAAAGTGTGCAAGCTACTCGACATTCTAAGAGTAGAATGCAGGCCTTTAGAAATCTATCGTTTAGGCAAATTAGCTGATTCTCTTCCGCGTCTAGTAAAGTTGGTTTTGCCATCTAGATCTCACTGGGCCACCGCGCTTTCAAACTCCCGATTACTGCGCGATTCGGAGTTCGCAAATGTCTACATACGTAAGAGCATGACACCCGCTGAACGGAAACGTGATTACGAGCTCAGAACGGAATGCAAAGAACGTAACAAGCGTGCTAATGCTCGCGTCTGGGTAGTATATAGGACGAAATTTGAAACAATATTCAGGATATACCTAGGTCTCGAACAGTGGGAAACTTCTAAGCAGACCCTGGTTCTCTAAAGCATTAGCTGCCTATTATTCATTTCCTGTAGCCTTTCTAACAAGATACACCATCTCACCTCCTACTTAGTACTGATGAGCCAGACTTACTTTTTATCACCGAGACTTGGCTTTCGACTAGGATTTCCAGTTCTGAAATTATCGCGGTTTCCCCTATCAGATTTTCAGACGGGATCGTAAGGGCCGTAAAGGCGGAGGGGTTTCTTGTTTAGCTAAGAATGGTTTGGAGATTTCTTTGGGTCAGTTCCTCCTGACATCAAATCGGATCTCCTTTGTCTTGATATCACCGATTCCATATTTCCAAGAAAAATCAGAGTAATTTTGTTTTATCGGCCACCCAACTCTTCAGCAAATGATGATGATTGCCTGATTGAGTCCTTATTGGACGTGACCCTCACTCAGGCGCACCTAGTCCTACTTGGCGATTTAAATTCTCGAGATAGACTGGTCTACTAATACTGCTAAGTGTTCGGGGTCTTCCACATTTCTCGAGCTTTCCAAGCTGGTGGGTTTCACCCAAAACGTTATGGGACCTACTCGTGGTGAGTCAATTCTCGATATTATTCTAACCTCTACTCCTCTACACGGTCTGTTTCAATCAATTTCAACCACAGCAACGACGAGACATTGGTTCCAAGAAGTAATATAGGGGGCAGTATGGAACATTATTGGTGGGTGGCAAAAATTGATAACAGCTGATAGATAGCCAAAAAAATTCACGGCAGAGTTATAGCAACACTGGAAGTGTTCCAGCAAGTAACTTAGAGGTACTCATGGAACATTAAAGGTGGGAGATAAATTCTGACAGCGTCCGACGAGGGTTTTTGGGTGTCCGTGTCTGCTCACATCACCGTAGCGAAAGAATGAATTAGCGGGTTCTTAATGAGTCAAGATGTTTTTCCTCAGCAAAATCCCTCAGTTTAGCGGTTTGAATTGCTTCCACCGCTAAACGCTCGAGTTCCTCGAAAAAGAATGTATGGAGTTGTTGCGCCAGTGAGGAATGATAAGAGCCACTGTGATTTTCGATATTTTTACCATCGCAATCCTTCCAACCGCTATGCTGTCCGATTTCCAACGAAATGGTAATTTTAGAAATATGATATGAGCCTAACATTGGCAAGTGTTCATTAAAAGGGAGAAACACCATGAAATAGGCCGTTTTGGAGACATAGGAATTAGGCTAAGTATTACTGCTCAGCACAGAAATCTGTCAAGTATCAGTAACATAGGTTTAACCCTGCGCGCAGAAATGCGCGTCAGCCAGGCTGGTTTTTCCTAAAAATTAGGCGTCAACTACGTAGCAAGTACGGTAGGCGTCCAGTGATGCAATTACGGCCAGCCGTTCTCAAAGTTGTCCCGTTTGCATACCTCGTTTCCTTCGGCTTGGTTTTTTTTGGCGCCCACGTTTTCGATTGATTTTGAAATTGATTGACCGATTCCATATTTCCAAGAAAATCAGAGTAATTTTGTTTATCGGCCACCAACTCTTCAGCAAATGATGATGATTGCCTGATTGAGTCCTTATTGGACTTGACCCTCACTCAGGCGCACCTAGTCCTACTTGGCGATTTAAATCTCGAGATAGACTGGTCTACTAATACTGCTAAGTGTTCGGGGTCTTCCACATTTCTCGAGCTTTTCAAAGCTGGTGGGTTCACCCAAAACGTTATGGGACCTACTCGTGCGTGAGTCAATTCTCGATATTTATTCTAACCTCTACTCCTCTACTACGTCTGTTTCAATCAAGCCCCCTCTCGCTTCATCAGACCATAGTACTGTTGCCTTTCAATTTCAAATTCAGTTACCGCTCCAAGAACAACTTACCTTTCCAAATTTCAATAAGGCTGACTACGGCGCACTATCTTCCTACCTTATCTCAGTCAACAGGTGGGAGGTTCGGTCGATGATGTCTATAACAGGTTCTGTGGAGTTGTTCATTCGGTGTGTCAAGATTGTTCCTTTACACTCCCCACAGATGCACAAGCATCGTTACCCAAGCATCTGTTGAACCTTTTGTCTCAGAAAACTCGGTTGTTCCACACGCTACCAAATGCCTTAATTGACCCTGTCTACAAAAAGTTTGCACAGAATTGGATCGCCATCTGAGAAGGTTCCTAAAATACAGAGAAAAGCATGCTAGCCACATTCCCAAGAGCAAGGCAGTATTTTCCTTAATGAAATACAAATTGAAACTTCATGCAGATCTTCCAGTGCTTCAGGATGAGGCTGGTAACCAGTACTTCGCTGATTCAGGCCAAAGCTGAAGCTCTAGCTCACTTTACCTCCGTATTTGTTCCCCAATCTATTCCACTTGATGAAGTTTCACCTTTACGTAATACCTTTGATTCCCTTTCAGAAATTTCCATTGATCCACTAGACGTGCTACGCGTATTAAAATCACTGAAGTGTTCTACTGCTTTCACCATTGATGGAATCCCGCAAATTGTTTATCGAAGATGCCGCGCACTCCTTGTACAAGCCATTAAACCATGATCTTAAGCATCTCCTTGCTGTTAAATGAAGTCCTGCACTATGGAAAAAATCTGTTGTAAACAGCGATTCCTAAGAAAAGTGATTCTTCTCTTATTGCCTCGTATCGTCCGATTAGCATAACCCCACCCCCCAGTCAAGGTGCTAGAAACATTAGTTCGCGATAAGATACTTGCGTGGCTTGTTGAAAGAAAACCCTGAGCAGCATGGCTTTTTGAGGGGTGCGTCCACAATAACCAGCTGGCTGACTGCGTTTTCGATTGGACCTAAGCCGCCAACTGTGGAAAATTCTGTTGATTGTGATAATTTCGATTTATCAAAAGCTTTTTTAAAGAAATCACAGAAAGTGATCGCAAAACTTCAAACTACTTGCATTGAAGGTTCGTTGTTATGTTGGACCCGCGTCTTATTTGGAAGACAGAAAAATGTGCGTCAAGGTTGGTAAGGCATTCTCTAAGCATTACTCTTGTATTAGTGGCGTCCCTCAGGGGGCGTCTTGTCGCCACTGCTTTTCTTGGTTTACACCTGTGATTTGCCTGCAAGGCAAAAAACACATCAGCTGGTCGAAGTGCGTCTTTATGCGATGATATTAAAGTCTAAGGTATCTATGATAACAAGACTCATGCTGATGTGTTCGATGCTCTTTCTAAGTCTATTGCGAATATGATGGAGTGGCCGGCTTGGGATATATCTGTGAACCTTTCTAAAACGACCATCCTTCACATTGGCAGTATACAGGACTGGGACATTCGTTTGGCGATTACATTCTTAGTGCCTCACATGAAGTACGAGATCTCGGAGCCTTTTGAATACTGAGCTTGATTTCGACCCACATATCAAAGAAGTTGTTCGGAAAGCTTTCTCATCACTGTTCGCCATTTGCAGAAATTTCAGACGGTAATGACCACTTAATCCTGGTTAAACTTTACAAGGCATATGTCATTCCTATTTTAGAGTACGCTTCCCAAATTTGGAGTCCAAATAGCAGTAAACTCCGCATTGAAATTGAAAAAGTACAACAAGCATTCCACAGATACTGTTTCACAGATGCCAGTCTGGTATCGGTTACACTTTTCCTAGCATTCCAAGGTACAATGAAAGGTAGTAAAACTTCAATCTAAAGAGTCTCCTTTACAGGCGTGTCTTCAATGACTTAGTTTTTGCTTCAAGGTTTTGAGAGGTAATCTGAAAATCAAACCAAGTAAGTAGGGTTTTCAAGCCTTGTCGTGGCCGCACAATAAATTGTCCCTTCATTATAAAGTTATGAAAGGTATCTCCAAGCCAAGACTCTAACTCCCTCTTTTTCCGAGGCGGAAGATGGCTGCAGTTGCTCCCATCTGATGTTTTGGAAGCAGAAAATATATCGGCCTTCAAAAAGAGGCTGAACAGAATCGATTTATTATCAACCCTCGGTATTACAGATTTCTAGTTCTTTGTGCTAAGGTGTGCGCTCTGGATATTTTGTACCGACTCGTTGGTTTTTGTGCGCAACTGCGAATTGTGGAGTCTACCCCTACGGAATCCTTTTTTTTGGCATATCACCTACCGAGTATTGTTTACTAATCCTGCTCGTGCTCTCGTTGTGTAATTTTTTCACTTTTAGGTTACTATTTGCTTTTTGCCTGCTAGGAGGGGGCAAACGGTCGGTCTGCTTTTACGGTGTTTTTTTTTCCTTTCTGTTCCTATTTTGTGTTCTGTTTCTTTTTTTTGTTGAGTTGAAATCCTACTTGGTCTGTTACTAACCCAGCCCTGCCATGGTTTCATTTTCTTCTGTGCTCACTAGAGTTCCAGAGTGCGTGGTGTTTTTCATTATGGTGCCAGCTGGGGACTTTGGGGGACTAGACCGTGGATACTCACTGCTCCTCGATTTTCGTTCATTAAATGTTTGTGCTAGATAGTTTAGAGTCGCCTGCAAGCCGCACTGGTCTTTTTTTTTTTACGTCTTGTTTGCTTCTATCCAGCATGTCAGTTCCACGTGGGATGTTGGTTACCCGTGTTCCGAAGTGCTGGCATTGTACCGATGACTTCTTTGGAAGGAGGCACCTTGGCCAACTGTGTGGATAGTTGTCACGTATTCTCCTTTTGCGTCCTATCTATGCTTGCATGCCTTCTAAATCAGTCTAGCACAAGGCCAATCGGAACCTCCGCAACTGCCTAGTTTTCCTTTTCCCTCTTTAGCATTCGATACTATTTCAAAACCAGCTCCCTATCAAGCCCTACTTGCACCACAGTGGCTTTCATTCAATAGATGGTATCTCTCCTCTCTTTTGAAGCACACTGTTATAGTGTAAATTAATAAATATAAAAATAAAGTGCGGTGGGGCGGCAACCTCTTCACAAGCGGATGGCGCCATCTTCTCTTATTTTTGAGCTGTGAAATTAGTACATCCTTCATGCTTGCCGACAAAGCTGCGATATCTGAGGAGGGCGTAGGAACATCAAATGAAAGCGGGCGCTGCCTTTGTCATTATTGGCAGCTATCACTACCTTTCTCACTTCATATATCTATGGTGCTGACATGCTACCGGGACATAAGGGTGTAGAGGCGAATGGCGCCGCATATCGCTCGATCGGGACCCGCTGCCGCAACCTTCTCCATGTTCATTTATGCTGGCCTGCACTTCCCAACTTCCCAAAGTGAACTCGTGAAGAAGTGCCACTCAGAAGACGAGAGTGCCATGCCGGTTGACGCCCTTGCATTATTGCAGTAGCAATACGACAAACCGTAGCCTTCCTTAGAGATCGTGGAACGGCTCTCAGCCGACCAACCACGCCTCTATCTCTCCGACTCGGGTATAGTGGGAGTCGCTGTGCGTACATCCTGCTGGCTCCATGAGCCGTCGGTCATATCATGTGTGAGAGCCACATTTCGAACTGAGGGGGGGGGGACGCGTGGCTCATCCCGGTACAGAGTCAATCAGTGCAGAAAGATCCGATTCATCTACTTTTCAGTAGTCTGTGCTGATATCAGTAGAGGTTCCTCACGTACCTAACACCCTTTACTCCTTCTATACTAGCTTTCGCTGTATTCAAAAATTTATAAGTTGATTCCAGAGCGTTTTAGACACCTGGAAGAAATGAGCAATCCGGGCAGAGGGAATAGGGATTAAATGAAAGAAACACACTCACGGTGCGCGGAGCGCTCTCCGATGTGGGCGGAGAAATCTCAAGGACCCATGACTTTGTTTCAGATGTCTCAGTGAATTAAGCAAAAACTGGATTGTTGCTTCTACGCAACACCGTAAAACTACGGTGGTTTTTTCCGGCTTATGTTCCTCCAGATGCAAGCTAATGGAATTCCCGCTGCGAATCACGAATTGCTCTATGCGCAGCACCAGAGGCTGCGAATACGGTGACACGCCGAACAAAGGCGATGAGGTTCGTGTGAACCGGGCTCTGTTCATGTTTTTCTCTTTCGTCTTGGCAGACAACGGACCTTCTTTCAGCTCAAGAATCTCAAGGAATTTGATTGTTCCTCACTCTTTCGAAGGGAACAGGCCGCGTTGATTGTATGGGTGGAGTCAGACCTACACAACTGTTTCTGCTTCATCAGCACAGCCCTCTTTTACAACCTTAAAGGAAAAGTTAGGTCAACGAGGAGAACAACAGTTGTTTCGACTCTGCCTATGCGATCAGTGTGCATTGCGTCTTTAGATATGTTTACGGAAGTAGCACCGTCCTCAGTTACTAACAAATATTTATTCAAAACAAGTTAAAAGGCATGATTACGAACCGATGAATGATTCTCGTAATACAGTTTTGAATAATTAGCAGCTCAAATAATAGAATCTACTGAAATTGCCTCCTGCATCGATTCAGACCAACTGCTTTCAACGTCTGTCTCGCTGCCTTTTTTAGAATTTCTTTTATGTTTAACGGTCTCGACGATGAGGATGACGGTTACCAGAAAGAGCGATCCGGCTAGGAGCGCAATCAAAATAGTAAGGTTCTTTGGATCTGTTTGGGCCGTATAATCTGAAATAAATTCGGTTGAAGATGAGAAAAAACACTGCTTTCTGACTGAAAAGTAGCTCTTCTAAAGCAAGAGGAGCAGCATGCACTAAGGCAGTGTTCATACTTTACGGCAGTGTACATCAGCGACCACTAGCATTTAGAACGTCCGTCAGAGTCAGCGACAAGGAAAGTTCAGACAATCTCGCGAACTGCAGCGTCTACCAGCGACCACCAGCGTCTTGAGGGGGCAGGAAAGTATGGAATCGATCTAGCGTCTACCAGTGTCTACCAGTGACCAGGAGTACACAGTATGGGAAAGCAAGAGGTTAGCAAACTGCCAGTAGAGTTTGAGAAGTAAAAGAGAGCAGACAGCAGGATTAGGAATAGTGAAATTGCTGCGTGTGCAGCCGCACCGTACTGCTACACATTACTGTGTTCCTGGTCGCTGGTCGACGCTGGTAGAAGCTGGTAGAAGCTAAATCGGTAAATAACATCCATCCATGTCCTATTGATTTTTCCCCCGAAGTTAGTTGTTTTTGTTGTGAAATTTGAAAATGGCTAAATAGGCTGGAAACAGCTGATCGGTCGTGACGCGCCGCAGCCGCACCTGCAACCCTTTGACCGCCCAATCAACCGCCCGGATGAAGACTTTAATTGCTTAGTTTCCTGGTTCAGCTACAATTTTGCCTATGATATCCAGGGAAACTTCAAAAGCAAGTTGAGGTTTCTAACGTACTTATGAATAGATTATAGAGGTTTGACTGCTGTGCGTTTTCATCACAGATATTGTTATCGGATACTCCAATACACAACAAATACTTGATTAAATATGCTATTTCAGTGTTTTCTAGAGTGCCTGTGAACAACCTGAAAACTACCATAATCATTATTAGTGTTAACATGGTGAGTGTGTTCAGTTACAAAAACTCTACGTACTCTGCAAAAGGTCCATCGGCCCAGATGCCCACATCTTCACCGCCATGATGACCAGATTTCGTATAGATAGCACTGGGCTGGAGATAAGATTCTTGAGCTGAAAAATATGTACTCCGCGCTATCTGTGATGTAATCAGGGCACATTCGTTGGGGAATTTCGTCGAGCTCGTGTACCTCCCCTTTCCCCCAGCCACCGAATACAACCTCCCCCTCTCGTTGGATCCCCAATGACGATGTGTCCTGGACGTTCTATTCAAAATGTCGAATATTCTACTTTATACAAACTACCAGTCGGATCGCCCGGTTAACGTCGAGCTCTCCTCCTTATTGGCAAGCCGAGCTTTTCGCCGGGGCTCATGCACTGCTTTAGAACTTCTTTTCTTGGCTCGTGAGGGAAAGGCAAAGTAAGGCATAAGCAGGGCGATACTACTGTCTCAGGCATTCATGATGCTCTCATGGTGACTAACCGCTGTCTTCTAATCAAATAAATGTAGAAACGCGCCATATGATCGCAGGGCACTTTCATAATGAAAAGTTCAAAATCTGGTCATGGATAATCGATTACTCTCATCCCCATCCTATGACAGCCATGGATGCTTCGGTCTCCGCAGTCGCTGCGTGCTCCTGTTCAGGCGTGCGTCGGTCGCGCCAATATGGTACCCTCCACCTCACCTATCCCCAAATTAGCGTCAGCTATTACCCGCTCAGCCACCCTACAGGTCACGCTCAGCTGCTACACGAATAGCCCGTGCAATGGTTCTGAGTGCACTAAATGGTTGGTTGTGGAAGGTGTCATGACTATCAAGACGCTGCCACAACTTGATAATGCAACATTAATCGGTTCAGTTCCGATTGCGGTCGATCCCTTTTCTTCTCATCTTATGGCAACCGTAGACGCCTTACCGCCGCAGGCGCTATGTGCTCCTATTCGCGAAATCGCCTCATCTGGTACCCCTTCACCACATCATATTCCTCTGACCCTATTTAACCGTCGCCCACTCCCGCACGTGGTATGCAGCCGCCACGTGAGCAGCTTGTGCAACATAGGACACTATACCGCCACTGTTCTCGTGCTCACGTCCAGCTCCCAAGCGATCAGCTCCTGCAATAGCGAGTCTATCAAAGTGGTAGGCTTAGATAGCGAGAGCTATTCAGAATCCAAACAACTTCTCAGTTCGTTGCTGTGACATGGATTACCTTGAAGTTTTGCTAGCGGTTGTTTCCTTCTCTCTTGCCGCCTGCTTCTACATGCGAACGCTACGCATCCCCTTACTGTGTACCCAGTTTGCCCGATTCAATCCATATGCCTCCTTCCCCTGCATGGGCTCAGATCCGACTGAGTGCGCGCAATGGAGTGAGTATGGGGAGAAGGGGGTCACTCGATACTAACTCCCACCTCCCTCATCTCACCCCATTTCGTACTCTCCACTCCATCCCCCCCACCACTTTGCTCCTTGCACGCACTTACGTCCAACTGCCACGCGAGAAACCCCTGCAATGGCTCGGAGTGTAGTGGTTTTCTTATGTCGTGGAGAGTGTTATCACATCCCAAACAACTTGTTAGTTCGTTACGGTAACATAGAATGGCTTGCAGTTTTGTTAGCGGTTGTTTCCTCATCCCTTGGTGCGGGTTTCTACTGAAACGCGCGCTACGCACCCCTCACTGTACCCCCCTCCCCGCGACCCCTTCACTCTGCCTCCTCCCATACATGTGCCCAGCTCCGGCTGAGCACGTGCAGGAGAGGGAGGCAGGGCGACTGGACACCCCCACCCTGCCCCCGCACGAGCACACATCCAGCTGCCACGGCAGCAGCTCGTGCGATGGCTTGGAGTGTACCGCATGGTTGTCTTATATAGCGGAGGCTGTTATCAGAATCAAATCATTTGATTGCTACATCCTCCCCAATCGGTTAGTGGTTTGCCTAGCGGTCGTTTTCTCCTCCAGCGAACTCGAACCCGTGAATTATTGTGCGGACGGACAGACAAACATACATACCTACAAACCTACATACAAACATACAAACCGACACACAAAGTTACTGGTTTATAGAATGAAAGATATACACTCGCCATCCTAGAGATGGGATGACCGTGATTACGTACTTCCTTTAAACGTGTTACGAATGGGTCTCTGAAGGAATATTTTCATTTTTCCGTTGGCGAAAATGGCCTTTTTTTCAGCGTAAGATAGGATGACAGGGGTACCAAGTGAAAGCATTCCACGAGGAACTCATACTACGCTGTGTCTAAATCTAGCACGAAGCCGCACCCACTCGGTTACGTGAAATTAGAGTTTTAGGTGAGGGTCTTACCGCGGAAAGCCGGAGCGCAGAGAAATAAGAGAATGCTGCAGCCAAGGCATCGACAGGTTCAAAAACATGCCAGGAGATGAGTCTCTTCCGAAGGGAGAGGACAGCGAGGTAGGTGAGTCACCAATGATGCTTGAAAAGTTGGAATGTGAAAGGTCAGAATGGTTACAATATGCCATGCTCTTCAACCAGTGATGAAGAATCGGCTAATGGCGCTCGAAACCCAACCGCACTGACATGCCCCTCTCTGCGGCGAACAAGAATGCAGTATCCTGCTAGACCTTCAACCGTTTCTTGTTGCGGTGATACATTACGGTGGAGGTATTCCTCCACCGTAATGTATCACCGCATTCTGGTATTCCTAAAGGTAGACCACAAAATGACTGCCCGATAGGCCTGAATTATGAAGCTCTGTGTGAGGCTTCTATGGTTAGAGATAAGCTCAAAGCTACTGCAACTGAATTGGAGGCCACGTTAGTGACGCTGTAGTCCGATCGCCCGACATTTCCAAGCTCACGGCTACAGAAAAGTGATGTGATGTGGGCTGTTACTAATAGAACGCCTCGCAGCTGGTAACAAGAATGAGCGCATGTCTTCTGCACCCACACAGGAAGGACGACAACTCATTACAGGGTATAAGAGTTAAGAGTTGTAAGATTACTGTGCTAAAAGATCGCCTGCCTCGTGGCAGTGCATGAAAAGGAGGTTTTGGTACGTTGTTCTTGTCATGCCAAAGGCTATGGAATACGGTGAATGAAGCATAATCCAACCAATTACTGGAATACACCCTAGTTCGCTGCCGATGAAGGGGCGTGTCAAGCAGTAGAATGTGCTATAGACAGACATGCGCTTATCCTTGTTACCAACTGCGAGGCGTTCTATTGGTGACGCAGTTCACTTGGAAGCTAAGATAAAGGACATATTTGTTTTACTTCATAACAATTCCTAATTCGAATGCGAACCTTAGTTCCCAGAGAATTACTAATTGGCTGAAACCTTCGCTACTCTCCTGACTCGGCCCTATCAGGTTCTTCTGTGTTTTGGACATTAAAGCTGCTCTTACGCAGTAGGAATTTGTTGATAAAATTGGCAGAGAGGCGATTTCGCTCTATTTCAATTTGCGGCGAAGTTCGGTGCGGCCTGTATATTGTACTCTGTCTAGGCTAGTGTCCCTAGTGATCCTAGTGTCCGTCCCTGGTTGTAATAGTAAACTGCTGGCAAGTAAGAAAGGGACTAGCAGTAGCAGAACTATTGAAATTCATAGGATTACTTGGGTCGCCGTCCAGCTGTTCTGCCCGGAAACCGCCTCGATAACCTGGTCCAAGTGCAAAGAACATGCTTGGTACCGAGTGTCCCTTGACTTTGTAGTTCCCTGAAAGGCAATATTTGAAATTCGGAGAAACACTGGGACTGTTTTTTTTCAAAAATTATGTAGTTGCACAAAAGATCCCATTTAGATCCCACCTCAGAATGCGTTAAGATTTTGAATTGCATTCGGAACATTAAAAACACAGCAAAACTGTGTGCTCACCCCCCCCCCTGCCCAGCCCTCCCCTTCGTAACAAATGCTCTCCAGGTGAGGCTATGTAATAGAGCAATTTTTACTTTTTCTTCAACAAAGTCAGTAAGAAACTACTTTGGAAAGAAACTCACCAAAAATACTTTCATTCAAAAAAGCATATCCAGTGATTGTGAGTGCATGCGCATGATCCGCTGTCACAAGTATCAGAGTCTCGCTAGGATCAGTCATTTCGCGTGCCTTAAACGGTGCCAATATTCAGGGTCAGCTGCTGTTGGGAGGTGCCCCTTCATGTCACGTCACTAACCATAAGCCACGTCTTGTCTGCTTGCCTGCGCCCTCTAACAGAAAACTCGCTTGTGTGGGTCATTCAGAACTTCAAAATATAGTTGCTAACAAAGTGAAGCAAGACATGACCCAGCATGGTCGCGCTGCCACCTGCTGCCACCCCTTAGCTGCCTTCACCCAATTTGGGTTTCCTAGCCACGGACAATTTAAATGCGCACCTGTCTGATGGCATCTTCAAATGCCTCCATTTCAGCAAATGTCTTGTGCATAGAGTTACGATGCTGGCCCACATCTATAAGACCCCCTGAAACAGCTCTAGCTAATTTTTAAAACCTTTGGCAAATAGTTGTAATTTTTACTTGCATTTCAATTTCCTATTAATAGTTTTTCAGGAATGAATGAGCTACCTTCGACCATTAGAAAGAACCCTTTTCGGTCGCTTTGCATAATCTTAATCGCTTTCTCTGTCATCATCTTCAGCGTGGGCTCAGTTTCCTTCTTCTTTATTGCCCATTCCATTGCGCCTTCGGAGAAGAGACCTGCAATGACATTCCGTGACCTGAAATAGACCCTCCGATCAGGGACAATCGAAATTTGCAGAGAGTCGATATGAAGACCACAATGCTTGTGGTAAACACAGCAAGAGGGAGATTTACTCATGATTCGTTGCAATTCAGGGGCGATGATTGATTCATCATGAGTTTTCTCTATCTAAGGCAGTCCATTATGCTACAAATTGGCTGGAAAGGAATGCTCCATTGCTCTGGTCGACCTGCTGAAAGCGCCTGAGCAAACTTGTTGTGCAATCCTGAGGAGAAAACGAGGGCGTTGAAATGTAAGTTGCTTCAAAACGCCCCTTTCTGGCTCTTGGTATTAACTGTACTTAATTCGCATACGTGTGGCGTAATTGCATTTCGCTGGCTCCTGCAAGGAAGCGACAGTGGATTGTGAAGCTCAACAAGGGAACAGACTAGAACCTAATGACCTAAGGCTGATAAACAGAACCTCACAGCTTACATTAGATAAGCGATACACGTTTAAAGCAGATCGTTCACGTTAGATGAGAGCGGGTACGACAACCCTCTCCTACATACTGTTCAGAGGGAAAGAAAGACTGTGCGCAACTTTGGGCCATTCTTAGCGTTATTCTGTGGTTATGCCTTACAAACAGTCTACGCAGATTATATGTCAGTCCGGAGTCAGTACCGCTTTTGTGCTTTGTTCGCTAACACGTATTTTCTTTTCTGGACGCTTAGGGTGGAACGGGGCGTCCAATAGAAGAAGGCTTAACGGCTGCCTTACTCCGCCCATGCAATAATGTTGGATCCACCGGGTACTGGTTTCCCGCCCATTGCAGCGGAGGGGTGTCTTTGTGCTTTACCATTGGTAGCGAATAAAAAAATTGACCTGTCACCCACTACCGCCTGTTTTGGCTATCATTGAGGACCACCTACAAACCAACGTGTTATGAACTAGGATTTTTCAAACTTTTCAATGAAGCTAACTACACTTTTTGCGAAATTTTCCCCGCTACACTTTCTGGAACAGTCCCCTGCTTATTGTAAGATCGTTTCACTTATAATCAGTACTAGACAGTTTGAAGAAGGCATGTCCACTGTATTAAAGTAGGAGTGCTGGGCCAGTTACAGTCCTCATCATTGCGGACCGGTGGGGCGTGTCAGCCAGAAGGAGTGCGCACACTGTTGAAGCCGTTCTCAGCCTTTTGTTGCAACGCGTATGCGACAAAAAGTGGTAGAAAACGAGTAATACGAAACATATCCTTCTATTCTATAAAGCACTAACTTTGTGTGTCGGTTTGTCGGTCTGTATATATGTATTCAAGGTATGTAAGTATGTATGTTTGTCCGTCCGCAAAATGCTTCACGGGTTTGAGTTCGCTGGAGGGGAAAACGACCGCTAGGCAGACAGGCAAATTGGTGCGGAAGTATCAATCCAATGTTTTGATCGTGTTATCATCCTCCGCTATATAAGACAACCATTCGGTACACTCCGAGCCATTGCACGAGCTGCTGGCGTGGCAGCTGGACGTGTGCTCGTGCGGGGGCAGGGTGGGATGGGGCCGAGAGGGGGGGGGCACTAGGCGCCTTTCCTCTGCTTCCTTCCCCTGCGCGTGCTCAGCCCGATCTGAGCATGCGCAAGAGAAGGAAGGGGACGGTCGACTGGAACACTGGGGCGTTTTTTCAAGGTATGATATAGGTTAGGCACAGGAATATGTGGGTGACAAGAACTGCTAGCCGCTGATAAAGGGAGTTAGAGTGGAAAGGACAACATACTCATAACGCGGTACACAACATAAGTTAGGCGTTGATTTCAGCAATTGATATCAAGGGGAAGGTGGAGAATGCGACGGCGGGTGACAAGAAATGATAACACCTGATAGGGCCTGATAGAGAACGATGCAGTTGTTGCTCAATCAAACGCTGGACCTCTACACCTCGAAGTTATGGAGTTTTAGGGATAGCGACATTGATGACGAGTGACAAGACATTTTACAAATTGATAAGTAAAGATAAGGGGACATTTTCATGACATCTCTGACCACTACACTGTCAAAAAAGCGTTACTCAGTAAGCGAAATTTTCCCACAGCCATCACTCCTCTGATAGCACTAGAAAATGTACTCATCCCGCTAGGGAGGGTATATACTTCGCCTGAAACAGGAAGTTTGGAGAAATCAAAAACTCCAATATTGGAACACACTTTATGCGTTGAGTGAGTATTTAAATAATTTTTTTGCTTTGCAACATTAAATCACTGATGAGAACGAATAGCGAAGTAGTTTGTAAGATATTCGACGAGCGCAACCTAAATATTGTCATCTGCAGCCATTCATGCAACCTTAGCAGGTGGATTGCATGTTAATGACAAGTTAATCGCCCATCATTGGTGTTGTGATGCATGTAATAAAAACGGAATGTGTTCATCTACTGTGCAACATACATTGATATTCTGTACTTCTATTTATTTCTGAGATCTACGATAGAATGGGCGTTATGGCCGAAACCACCACGCCTTCCGCAACTCTGAGGGGTGCAGATTCCGCAAGGTTACTCTGTCTGTTATGATTCGATCACTACCGCGCAATATGAGCAGCTCATGCACCGACTAATTCCATCCCGTTATGATGTGCGCCTGGCGAAGCCAGGCCAGCTCGACGAAGCCGAGCTAAAAAGAAGGAGGAGAGCTCGGCGTCAGCCGTGCGATCCGACTGGTAATACAGTAATTTCACTTGCCCGCTTCAACAGCTGCTGCAGAACGACTTTGGCACCGCGCCAAACGCAGCCGCACTGACACGCCCCACCGGTCCGCAATGATGAGGACTGTATGTTTGTGGTTTCTGGCGGCATGAGCATGAGGGACCGCAGGAGGACAGGACGATCTTATCCCACCTTTGACCTTCATCTCATCGAGTCGACAGGTATCTCTGGCAGCAGCCGCCTGCTCACACTAGGTCTGTGGACACGCCCCTTCGAAAACCGCGTTATGAGCTGTGTTTCAGTGAATACGCTGGCGCGTGTCAAGGGGCTGGACTCGATGCAGCCCCATCCCGTCTTCCAGCAATTATTGTAACTTGCCGCTCCAGCAAGTTATGAAGAAAGGGCTGGCACCACGCCAAACCAAGGTCCGCTGACACGTCCCAGCATCCGCAGCGGAAACGACTGTAGTTAAGCATTTCTGTACAAAGTGAATTGTGCTTCCGAAGTTAGTTCAACGATGAACCACAAAATTTCTCTTACAGCTTTTGTTGTAACAAATTCTGCTATGGAAAACCATACCTAACACCTTGCCACCCTTGGAAACATCGTATTGCCACAGATCGTCTATAGAACGCAATACTTTCCGCCGTCCACCTAATCGTTCCCATGCAAAATCGATATTACGGCCATCAGTCCGCTTTCCATTTCTTGTGGCATTCATGAAGAAGGATCTTCCTCCTCCCATCATCACCTCAAAAGAAAAGACTTCAAAGGCACTTCCAGCGATTGCAACATGGTTTCCAGAGATAGACTTGAGCTATTGATGAAGCCGTCTGAAGTTCGGCTCGTTTGACTTTGAATAGACGAGGAGTACGCGCTGAGTAGAGACGCAGAGACGCTCAACGGTGCAGCAAAAAAGCTCTAAGAAATGTGTAGCGTTCCCTACGATTAGTGTATTGTCCGGCTTGTTGCAGCTGTTGGTCTAATTCGCGGCCGCCGCTAAGGCTGCTCCATATCTCTGAGACTGCGTTCTTGCTCTGCGGCAGCGTAGACCACGAGCGTCCACCAGCGACCATCAGCGTTTCGAGCAATTAGGAAAGTATGGATATCGATCTAGCCTCACCAGGGTCCAACAGTGACCAGGAGTAGAGAATATGGAGGGTGTACGGGAGGGGGGTAGCAGACTGCTAGTAGGGTATGGAGAAGTAGAAGGGAGGAGACAGCTGGATTAGGTATCGTAAAATTGTGGCGTCTGCGACCGCAACTATACCACACTATACTTCTAGATTATGGTAGACGTTAGATCGATATCCATACTTTCGTGGTCCCTTAAGACGCTGATGGTCGCTGGCGGACGCTGGAAGACGCTGCTGTAAAGTATGAACGCAGCTTGACACGCACTTCCGCATCCTGTCTCACGCACTATACGTTGGAGGGATTCTGGTTACGTCTTTAGACAGTCGCGCATCGCGTCTATGTCAACTCCAGTAAAAGAAACCCCAATATTCCAAAATATGTCTTCGAAGGCTAAGCGGTGCTCAAAAATGTGCAGCTATTCGTTAGCATACCGAAATATTAGGTTGTCCGGAAAGTTCTCAGCGTTTTGTGCACCTAATCTTTGTACATTCACTGCTGATTAAAAACTCATTCTGCCTTGCTCATCAGTAGCACATCCTGTAGAGAATTTCTTGCGCTATCTTATGGTATAATAGCCGTTTCACCATTGCATGATAAACCCCCTTTTCTCAAGTATTTTTCCAAGCAAATGAAAAGAGCACGTCGGACCAGGGCACAGCATTGGTTGGGGAATCCCCATGGGGGGGGTGGGGGGGGTCTAGTTTGCCGCCAGGAGAGGGGGGGTCGTAATGAGTGCGTAGCCAGTATCGAGCAGCGCAAAGGTGTCAATGTGCTGAGTCCGGTACAGCAGCGAAGCTTACTTTGTAGAGAACACTCGGATATTTGAAAAAAAGGACAAAACTTTCAGCGCATAAAAATACGAAACAACTGAATTTAAATGAGTCGACATCATCTCGTAAGTCCGTTGATGACTAAACAGTAAAACGCATACCTCTGATTTGCTGCAGATGATGGGGCGTGTCCGCGATTGCGCTTGGGGCTGATCCAGCCTATTTTTTTCGACAAGCGACGCGACTACCATATCGTTCGTATCACACGTTTTCCAGCAGTTGGTCTCCTTTATCGGAGACAGCAATTGGAGGAGCACAGATCGGGCGGCGTCGACACAGACACGCTCCATCATCCACAAGGGAAAACACTGTAAACATGTGCACAGGTTCGTCAATAGACCTCCCTGAATACTATAGACACATTGCTCGCGTGAACAGACATTACGCACAAGTTGCACCATCCAATCACCTCTGCGCGGACCTCAGTGCGCGGCGCATACAAAGTCAGCGTGATCAGCGCTAAACGAACCATATCCTGCTCCTGCTCCACCACAGATACGTTCTACATGCGTTCCTGGCTATTCGAACACGCTCACTTGAAACGGTGCACAGGAAACGGGTTTTTCGCGCGGGCTGGGAGTGCTCCCTAAGAAATCCCCATCGCGAGATCTCATGAATCCCGAGAGCTTCAGGAACAGTTCAATAGGTCTTTAGAAAGAGAAAATCTTGAAGAAGCTCGATCCGTTCTCAAGATTTGTGAAATGTTGAGTTACAAAAAAATATATTGGTTCAAACCTGTTCAACTTAAACTTCAACCCTTCACTCCCCAACGAATCCCTATGGCAGCTTTCTCTGTGATTTTCGCGACCTTCATGAACATTTTAGTACTTTCAGGAAGATCAAACCTTCTAATTTACCAATACGCTCTCCTCTTCCCATAGGTCCGCTTTTGAGGAAGTTATGGTCCTTCAAAGACACCCCACTTTGCTGAAAATTCTCGCTCCATGGCTAATAGCCGTTTGCTCCAGTCAAAGCTGCAATTCATACCCAACTCTGCTACCGTACGATTTCTGCGGAAATTCTGCCCCTCAAATCAAAGTGCACTGGGGATTTTTGTTGTCGACTTGCGGTCCGGTTCCCGTGTATCGTTGAAATTCCAGGTAATCCAGTTACCACTTTGCTATAATTTATTTATTTTTTATTTTGATGAATTTATGTTTAAATTTATTTTACTCGTCCTGTTCGGACAGGGTGTAACCCCAGCTGTATGGCGTTTGTCCAAATTGGAATCTTCCTCTAGTTTGGGCTTCGTTGCGGCGGTAGGAGGGCTTCGTTGGCGGTGGGCGAACGGGTAGGGAGGGTGGGATCCTCTTGTTATTTTTTCGTTATGTCCTATTCACTGAAGTTGTTTTTTGATTTAGTAGTTTTTGTATATAGTGGTTTTGCATAGTGGTTTTTAGTTTTTTTTCCCCATGTATATAGTTGTTTTTGTTTTACAATGAAGCTGAAGTCTGAAGCTTGTGTTTTTGTGTGAAAAAAACCAAACCAAAAAAAAAGGGGGGGGGGGTCGTACCGAACCCCGCCAAAAAGGGGGGGGGGTCGTACGAGCTCGACCAAAATCCCCATCGAATGCTGTGCCTGCGTCGGACGATTTTTTTCTTCGACTATAAATTGGGGCAATCCGCAATCGAAACAGTCAACAAATAAAATAGGTGTGAGGGCCCATTAGTGCTAGAGAAAGCGCTGTGGCGCGCAAATTGGCCTCAACAAATTTCGTTCTGGAGATTCCAGCCTTGAAGATGAACCTCATGGCGGTTGACCTAAAGCAATATCTGACGAGGATTTTAGGGGGATTTTGGAGGCTGACCCATCCCAAACAGTTCGAGAGATAGCAGAAGAGCCTAGGCCTTGGCAAATCCACTGTTGCAGATGGTCTGGAACGCATTGGGAAGGTGAAAAAACTCGACAATTGGGTGCCCCACAATCGGAGCGACCGGCAGGAATCGACACGTCTCGAGGTTCCTTCTGCATTGCTTTTGAACCTGTTTTAGCAGAAACAACCTGTTTTAGGGCCGAATCGTCACCTGTGATGAAAAATGGGTCATGTATGATAACAGGAGACGTTCCGGACAGTGGTTGGATTTCGACGAGCCACCGAGGTAAGTTTCAAAGCCGAACCCTCACGAAAAAAGATTCTGGTCACGTGGTCATCCGCTGGTGTGATCCACTATAACTTTTTATCACCAGGCCAAACCATCACAGCAGAGCTCTACTGTGAAGAAATCGACGAACTCACTCACTGCTTCACTTTGTTAGCAACTATATTTTGAAGTTCTGAATGACCCACATAAGCGACTTTTCTGTTAGAGGGCGCAGGCAAGCAGACAAAACGTGCCTTACAGGAGGTCTTTCAGGTCGTGGCGCGCTTTTTAGAAATGGTTTGTTGCTTATTGTAGGGCTCCATACAAGGGTCACAAAAATGGGTTTCATTTTTGCTATGCGTTTCTGGGTAGGTCAAAAACGGAGTGAAAAGAATTTGGCAAGAATGGGCGGTTTTAACAACCTTAATGGGCTCCTTTCTGCTTGTAACTTCGAGCATGCATAGTTAATAAGGTGGTCACTGATTAGGCCTCAAAATAGGTTCGATTAAAGTCAAAATGTAAGTATCATGTGGTAACACACTTGGCATGCACCGACGTAAGAGTGTTTTTTTTTGTCAGCAAACCCTTCACCTATGGATGACTGGTCTTGGAATGGAATTTTCTACCGGTAATCAGGAAAATGATGCAGGCGGCTCATACAAGTGAGCCAGGTATTGTTCTTTGTGAAAAGACATGACTGAAGGGTTATTTCAGTGCAAATACCAGACATCACCAGTATGCTAGTCGGATTACTGGTTATCATCTAGGCGCGACCATCTACCCCATTTTTTCGAAGTTGAGTCAGATCCTCGGATTTCCTCAAGGTTTCTTTTCTAGAGGCTGTTTGACCCCCTGAACACGAATATGATATCTATTTTGCACGGAGAGAGCTGTGAGTCGCGCTACAGGTGCAAATTCACTGCGCCAGCCCACCCGCAAGAAGAGAAACAGCGAAGGAAAACCTATATAACTCCGCTCAGAGAATCTTTCGCAATCAAAGGTAGTATCGAGTTCATTGTGTCAAGACGAGTACAATGATATGCACTGACTGCAGATGGCCTGGCTGTCCTATTGGCCTTTCCTGGATGACACCTTACAAACCAGCACAGTTGTTTGGAGAACCTTGTTTCCGAAAATGTTCATTGCGTTGTTGCGTTGTTGCGTTGCGTTGCGTTGCTACAGATGCAAAACTGCTGCTGAGGATCCGAACCGAGTCCCGCATTGTCGTGCCATTCAGAGCCCATCGTGCTATCCGCTACGCCATCTGATCCGCAAGCGGTGGTCATGAAGGGAGCGCTGACAAAAACACACCCTTGCGTCGGTGCATGCCAAGTGTGTTACCACATGATACTTACATTTTGACTTTAATCGAATCTATTTTGAGGCCTAATTAGTGACCACCTCATAAACTATGCATGCTCGAAGTTACAAGCAGAAAGGAGCCCATTAAGGTTGTTAAATCCGCCCATTCTTGTCAAATTCTTTTCACTGAGTTTTTGACCTACCCAGAAACGCATAGCAAAAATGAAACCCATTTTTGTGACCCTTGTATGGACCCCTACAACAAGCAATAAACCATTTCCAAAAAGCGCGTCATGACCTGAAACACCTCGCCCCCTGTTAGTGGATTTCGTGGATTTTCGACCACCCAGTTTTTTCTTTGATGGGATTTCTCGACTGCTGTCACATTGGCAAAAGTGTGCTGATTCGAATGGTTTTCATTTCGATTGAATCCGATGAGTATTAAAAAAGTTACGATCGTTCAAAGTGAAACACCCAAAACGCTGAGAACTTTCCGGACAACCTAATATTTTTGTGAAAATAGCCTCATTCCAAACTTCTGAGTTGTATATTCAGAAACACTGAGCAAAAGCACCTTAAATTCCGAAGCTGGACGGTGCAGTATTTGCGAAGCAATATCTCTCTTGCAGTGTGCTTTTAACTCATCAGGAATTTCGCGTTCTAACGATCGATGAACACCCTGAAAAATCATATTAAAGCACAATTTCCATTTCATTTTTGTTCAAACCACTCTAAAGTCACCTTTGCGTATAGTGCTGCTGGTGTAGCATGGGTGATTCTTGCATTCGTTACAAAACCAACGTTTAGGCCTGCAATTTGTTAACCTTGTTGGACCTCCTTGGTATAGACATGCAACATTTCCTCTGGTTTCACAACCTTCAAGCTCCAGCAGGGAATAAAGAACAACCATATCAGCGCTAATCAATCCTCTCTAGGATGCGCTACGTATTTTGCTTATCTTCCAAATGGGGGTTGCATTTTGGTAGCGAGTGGGTCCTACAGTGAATTTCGGTCGCAGTCAATCTGCAGGTTAGTGAGTGGTCTCCAAGACAAATCTAGTCTAACTTACTTCGTCCAGGCGGAGTCAAAGACAAATCCCGCGATTGCACACTGTGGGTTATGGTAATCAGTTATGAAATTTCACTGGGTGACTCCTCATTAACGAAAGGAAAGCAAGCGAAAAGTGACACCCTCCATAAGGTTCTGCCCTTTCCGTTTCATTAGCTGGGATGAAAACCATGTATAAAGCCTAAATTGAATGTTCAACTTCTGAGGCTGCCATGACAGTGATCGGGGCGCTAGCATAGTTCGGAATGGGAGTGAGCCAGCAGCCATACCACTCACTATACAGTCATGATCCCTGCAAACCATAGGGCGTGTGACGGGAGTGCGGCTTGAAGCACTTCCAAGCCAGGTTTCCCGCCCATTACAGGGAGCTCAGGATGGCATCATTGCTGAAAAGTTGCCGCTCTGGCTACTTTCCACACGCCCTATCGTTTGCAGGGATCACTGTATCTGTATGTGCTCCGCAAGAATCCTGGACAACTGTGGCCATCTCTGCTCTTCTGAGTTCAAGCCCTAAAGAGACGAATGGACTTGCTGCTCTTTCTCGTGCCCCTCTCCCTCCTGCTCCCCACCAGTTGCGATCGCCCACTATATATAATTTGCTTCGTCTGCTTTTGTTTGGTTGTTTGCTTGTGTGTGCTTGTTTGTTTGTTTGTCTGTTTGTTTGTCTGTCCGAGACATCGTTTCGACTTGAAGAGACAAACATGGAGAGATAAGGACAAGGTGGTGATGGGTAGCGCATGGGACAAGAGTAAGGAGCACACATATACTATGCGAAGCCTTACCCACAGTGGGCGAGGCATGCGCCGAAAACTTGGAGGTACCGCAGGCAAAATTCATAAATTCGCTTCCGGAGGCAACCCAGAGATAGGAAAAAAGAGAGAACAAGGTTAGCAAGGGGGTTGCCAGACTAAATGGGGAGACACACCCAAAATGGGCGGAGCGTACCGAAAGGGCGGTGCTTCGACCCGCGATCTGATTTGAAGTCGGGATCGCGCGGTGGTGAGCGCGCCATTTGTCTCTACTGCCACCTCCGCCTCCGCCCCGAGTTAGCACCAAAAAAGTAACCGTCTTCTACAGCTTCGTCTGCTATTCCATCCTGGAATGTGCTCGTTTGGCACGGTCAGTGCATCGTTTGTTTAGCCGAGGTAACATACCAAGCGTCCAAAGCGCATCAGCCTAAATTGAAATGATATTGATAAAACCAGTGAATCAGAAGTGATGTCTGAAGCATTATTATCTATGTAATTCTTCAAAATCAATTTATAAGAAGCAGTAGAGCAGAATGGATTTCACTCACTTTATAGCCACTAAACATAGCGACAGCCGCTGCTGCTGAATCTGTGACGTGGGTATTGTGCGAATAAGTCTGAAGGCGGTTTTCTTCAATTTATTTTTTTTAAATTTTTTACCACACAGTGTATTGTTATTGATATTGCTATTGTTGTGCATTACAATACTCACTAGTTTCCATCCAGCGGCCACCACGGCCTCCTTTTTCACCACTACCCTGGTTCACTCGCACACACAGTATACCACTGGGTATCCATTGGGTTATCAACCGCAACGCGAGCATGAGTCAGAGTGGCTGCTACTGCGAAACCGGCATTTGAAAACAGTTGATGGCTCAAGAGGATCTTATGGTGATCAAGGTGAAGCCGGAGGGGGGTTGCACTTTTCCTACTTCCCATCGACGTGTCGAGCTATCTAGCGGGCTATTTCATGAGCTTACAGGAGTTGGGTTTTGGGTTTGGTTTCACTGTGGGGGTGGGGGGGGGGGCTCCACGAGATTCCAGCTTCACAGCAGTCCCCAGCTTTCACCAGAGTGAGACTTGTAAACCGGAACTAGAGAGGCAGCAAAAGTGCAAGGTTCCCCCCCCCCTCGTCGCCGAACTGCACCTGCAATCAATGCCGAGAACGTTACTGTAACCAACACCGAGTTATTTTTAATGGTTCCCTTCTATCAGTTTCCTTATCGCGCCCCGAGATATTTGAGACGTTTTGCGTACGGATCGACTTAATTGCAATCCGTTACACAAAGCTGGCGGTCTAGTTGAATAATGGGGCTCTCGCCCGTGATCAATTCCTTTCTGGGATATGGCACGCAATCCCACACCCATTTTGATTCCCAGTGGCTTACTGAATGTGGCGAGGCCAATACAATGAAGAAAGGGAGCCATCTAGCAGATAGTCGGGCATTACCCTTCAAGGAGGGTGTCACCGTGATAAACTTTCCTGCTACTATGGAAGACACTCGTCAGGCAGCCCCTTAGGTAGCACTATTGAAGTGGGAGGTGAGCGCATGTGGAGCAAGCGCAGCGTACAGTATACAGCGGCAAAGGGCAAGGAATTAACTTAATTTCAGGGATTTTAGGGAGGGTTTCAGGGAATTTCCGGGCTGCTGCCGGTGAACGGCAGCTGGCTGTGATATCCCTGAATATGGGTACGGTAAAGCTTACCACTCGCGCAGTCCCGGGCTCAAATCCCGGGTCTATTCCCGCCTAGACGAACCAAGTTTTCTATCTTCCGGGGACGGTAAATTGGAACCATATTCGTCTGGGAGGATAAAACGCTGACTCGTACATCGGCTAGCCCGTGCAACTCATTGTACAGACCACATCACTTTCAATAAGCCACTACGATTCTGAATGGAAGTAGAATGCGTGCCGCATCTGCTTTGGTTGCAAAGTAAAATGCGAAGCGAACGGATTGGCGTGAAGCGGGAGCGGTGATGCAAGGGTATATGCAGCTGCAGCTACATGTGCAGCTGTATCGACCGTAGCGGTTCCTGGCAAGTTGCCTGCGAGAAACTCGTCCGAAATAGCTTTTTGTATCATTGACAACGGAGGCTTTTCTTCGCAAGTTTTTGACCTTTTCACTTCGTTTTTTTCCGCCATTTCCCCCACTATATATGTAGCGTCCTGCTCATTTTAGGCCGAGTATCAAATATCGTGCTAAGTGCGTTTTATGAAGAACACTTCCTGCAAGCTTACCTTGACAAGCCCAGTAACTGGAAAAGTCTCAAAGAAAAGTGGATCTTGTGTGTAAAAGTGCCCATGCTTCTGATTTTTTGCGATACGGTAACTCGTCACCGTAGCAATTCCCATTCCATCGCCAATGAACAGAATGACGTTTTTCGGTGGTTTTTCTAGGAAGCTCATAGTCAATTTCTGTTTTTAAAAAAATCATGTCAACAAATTCAAAAAATCTGAAAGCTGAAGAAGAATGCAGGGAAGATAGCCGCAAGCGTCCTTCTTGTCAAAGACGACAAGCAACATTTTACTTGATCCGTGCAAAACTTCTAAACCAGTTTAACATTTCATTTTGAATTCCCTATCTGTACAAAATCCCTGAGCTACGGTAGGCGTGGCCGTATTCATCAGATATTCTGATTTTAGGACAGTTGTGATAATGAAGTTGTCCAACACAGAACAAGTTGTGACGGCTGTCTTGAGCTGAAATATTCCACGAGCAACCCACCCTAGCCGCGTTCAGATGCCACCTCTACTCTGTCCTAAGGATAATGAGTGTTGCTGATGACGTCGCAACCAATCCGAGCGCTGTCAGGAGAGGTGGAATGGCAAGTTTTGGTGCGGTGCCATCTCGTTCCCACCAGTCATTGCCGTTACGGGAGAACGACCATTGGTGGAAAAATCCACGCCTCCATTTGACGCTCTGATAAGCGCTGTACGTATTCCGCAATAAATGTTTGCACGGAGTCACTTGGAAGGATGCGTCTCGTTGATGGGCCCTCCACTTCTAAGATGGCAATGGGAGCAGGGGCCTATCAGTAAGAAAAGCGTGATGGCAAGAGTGACACCTCCGATATCATCAGCGCACAGTTTTACTCTAGATCAATGGCTCGGTTTTCATGGTCGGAAGAAAATCTCTTTAACGAAGAACCACTGAAATCGACAACAATCAACACAACGAGAAAGTCTGCTGCTACGTGCTGGCTTGCCTGCCCACCGCGAATGAGCTGATCAGTGGAGTCTTCTCTTGTACGAGCTGCCTTAGCAGTACAAGTGTTGGACTTCCGCCGTTAGAAGCCGAGAGTCTTTATAAACTTCCGCTACTGCGAACCTAGTCATCTCTCAAAGTCAATCGAAAGCTAAAAAAGTTCGGCTCCGATGTTGATCTTGGTGCGCATCTCCTTCTCAGAATTGGGGATCTAGGAAGCCCGGAGAATCCAGAAAAACTAGTAGGAAATGGTAGCTTTTTCTCCACATTGGTGGAGTATATGCTGACTTGCATCCATCTCTCACCTTCACTGCCTTCCTTGCGTATGAATGCGAATCAGCTTCAAGAAAGGCGCCGAGGAAAACTAAATGTCTTAACGACCCATCACAGAAACAGGGTTCTCTGTGCCACCCTCTCACTCCCAGTCACGTTTCCACTTTGTCATTGATTTGTGTTTTCCATAGCATCGGGCTGCCAACACCCCTTCCGCCCCCTGCCCCCCACATGTACTCCTCTACTTACCTCCGACCCATACACGTACTACGCTCAACCATTATTCTACACGCCAAGCTACACCAATATCGAGGATTCTCAACGCACGCCTGATCGCGGTGCTAACAGCATCACATTTAGATCTTCTTTTATGTGGCCATTCAATCGCGTCACATTGTTATGGCCATTCAATCGCGTCACATTGGTATGTTCTCAGGAGACGAGCAAGAGAATCGTGATTTGCCGCTCTGCCGCGCGCAGCGTTCGGCGCGGCGTTTCCTTAACTTGTGTTAACACGGCGTCGCACGCGACGCTCACCGACTCGGCTAATCATGATTCTTGTGACATACAAATATCTCCAGCTCGGTTGGCGAACCCGAAGGAAGGACCAAAGCGGTCTTCGTCCATAGCGGTGCGTTGAATCTTGTAGACCGCTCCTATTACGTACATATTGCTGTTGGTCGGTGAGTGAAGCCCACCCCAGCAACCAGTATCTGGCTCTACCTTCAGTGGCATGCTCACAACAACGATTCGAACGATAATTACCGTTTGCTCTTTTAATAGAGACTATTTGTAAAAATCATTCTTGGAAAAGATTACTGATTTCTTAAGAGCAAATCATATGTTAAAAACAGCCGCCGCGCTCGAGTAGTCCATGGTCGTCCTCCCTTGTACAGGTAGTTCAGCCCCCAAGCTAGATGCTGTCCCACTCTCGCAACTCCACAGTGAGCAAGAAGCGAGCTACAGCCGCTCAAAGTCCTAGTTTTAACGCCCGCTCAGTTGGACCGCCTCACTTGCTAGCTGCCCTCTGACGGAGAGCCGCTCAGTTGCTCTGGGACGGCGGGCAATACTAAGGATTGTACGTCATTTTTGAAGACCGCGATGGTGCCCTGGATAACTCTGCTCTCCTTTATCACATTTCATTCATTGAGAGCACATACCGTCAAAAGCAACCATCTCGTAAGGTAAAACGCATAGAAATCACGGGTGATGCAATTTTTGTGGTGCAAAAGCTCGACTAGCAACATGCACTAAAAGCCGCTCGCTACCGTAACCCAAATTCGGACGCCGTGTCTTTGAAAGTTTTTTTTGCCTTTCAGGAGTTTTCTTGTTTTTCTATTCTTTTCATTTGGATGATATCCACTACTGAGAGCTATTATAAAGAGATTTTCGAGCCAGGGGTTGCCCACGGATCGCAGGGCGGTGTAACTGTAAATTTCGTTTGTGGTGATCTTGAGGGTTCTTGTTGCTTTTTTCCCTCATTGAGAAATTACTTATCAGCTACTGTTTCATAACTGATCAGCAATTATTCCTGCCACTTTTATCGCGGGAGCTGTCTTTAAGCATCAAATGTATTAATTTCAATACACTTGCATTGAAATGTCCCACCTCTTATCAAATGCTTATTCATCTTCAACTTCATCTTTATGTTATGTTTTGCAATCGAATTCAAAGTCTTCGTGTCACCCACTTTGACTGGAAAGATCGGTTTCGTTTGAGCGAGTTCAAGTATGTTCATTTGATAGTATATTATAGAAGGAGATATGGCAACGATATTATTATAGTAGATGTGAAGGTCGCCCCTAGTTTTGCATAAGCAGCGCGATGCACTGACGTTGCAGTAGCGCGGAGATGTTGTAGAGGGGACCGGCCAACCATTGACGGATATTGATCGGCGCCGCAGGCAGAGTTCAGATTTCGCGGGGTCGCGCATCGAAGCGCTATGACGCGCTGCGACGCACTGTAATTACAAGCGCGCTGAAGTGCTACAGTGCTCCATCCTCTCTAAACAAGCTCTCCTCTAATATTTACGCTTTTCTCTTTGTTTTCCAATTCTACTTCACATTAAGCTTCGAAGCTTCGCGTTTTGCCTTTGACAATCATTGGAAAAGCATCTAATGAGAAGCTGGGATACTGTAGCAGTGGAGCGCGATTGCAATTGTGGCGCGTTGCGTCGCGTCAACGTCGCGAGTTGTCAACACTGTCGTGGCGCACCACCGTGAAATCTGAATGCTGCCCTAGCTGCCCTTGTTAGCCTAATAAATCCCCATGATCCCACCAATCAGACTGTAAGGTAGACTTCCAGGTTACGCAGCATCTCGAACTTTGTGCATGGTCTTGCTGTGAAACCAGTGAAGCAGACGAATGTACAGCGGCTGCCAAGCTCAGATGCGTGCAAGAAACACGCGGCGAGCTGAGATAAGGGCTCTCGCAAGGGTAAGAGACTCCGGGATGGATGAACTACTCGAAACTTTATAAACGGAATGTGTGAGATCACCATGATCATGGAACACCGTACGTGATGGAGGGCAACAAAAAACAGAAGTCCGATGCATAAGAAGGGATTAAGTCCAAGTTATACACAGAACAGATTTCTATTGATCTTTGACCGGGAGTGTTTGGACATGAGATATTGGAGCAATTCTACACGATCTTGCAGCGTTTAGACTTCACGATGACGCGTATCGACGCGCTCCAATGCTAGACCGCAAAGCAGCCGTACACATGTACCACTTGTCGGCGACCGCTAGCGTTTACACAAAGTTAAGTGATATGAGAACAGGAGGGTACTGCGTTGCCTAACCACACAGTGTGGTACACCCCTACTGTATAAACCACAATCTTGACGTGTCGCTTGGTATGTCTGGATAATTTTTACGCTGGGTTCACACTTTGCGGCAGCGTCCGCCAGCGACCATCACCATCTCGAGGCACTAGGAAAGTATGGACATCAATCTAGCGTCAAGCAGTGTCCACCAGTGGCCAGTAGTAAAGAGTATGAAGAAGGAGGGTAGCAGATTGCCGGTATAGTATGCATATTTTAAAAGAGGAGACAACTAGATTAGGCGTCGTGAAATTGTGGCGTGTGTAATCGCACCGTACTACTACTCAATACCGTATTCCTGGTCGCTTGTGGTTGCTGATGGACGTTGTCGCAAAGTATGAAGGCAGCCTCACTGCTGCTCGTAGTGCATACATCTCGCCGCCCCTTTCTGCGCCCTGCAGGAGTTCACCCCGAGCCAACGACAAAGGTGGCGGTATTGTTTAAAGGGGGAAGAAAGAAGGAACAGATGCGAAAGGAACGTCTCCGTTTGGGTCTCAAATTTCCTGCAAAACATCAAGCTACACTGGGAACTTACTGTGATAGGTTAGTTCGGTTAATATTGAATCTGCAAGCCAGAGCAGGCCTACCAGTGTCGCCTGCTTCCAGCCGACCATCTACAATATCAAGGAGGATCAGTAGAACCATAGTTCACCACAACAAAGCCTCCAAGTGCGAGGTACAACCTTACCTAGATAAGAGCAAGAAGAAATGGTCTACACTAGTTTTTCCACTTATCAATGGATCTTCTGATTACCGTTGACGTCTTTCTACATATCATAAAATGTTAATCCCACCACCTCATGTAATGTGCGAGAACTCATTGGGATCTTATAAAAGAAGAAAGTGGATTGTAACAGCCTTACCTCAAAGTGTCCCTTTCATAAGCGAGTAAATCTGCCTGTAGCTGCAAGAGTGGGCCACTTTCTTTGTGGGTTATTTGCTGCGCTCATCATTCCGGGTGGCGTCAATTTTTCCACAAATGCGAGGAAACCTTGCTTACTAGGGGTTTACAGTCTTACTTACTCTCTGATTATGAATATGACACCCGTTCTGAGCGTCGTATTCGTTGGCGCCGGCGCTATTTGGCGACAAAATGGAGCCGGCGCTGACGTAGCGCCGCCATTTTTCTTTCCAAATCGGCTGATATCTTGCATTCCAAGTTAAAAGGAAGAGTATACCACGAACGCGGTATCCATTTTGTTGACTCCGGTACAGCTAACGATCTGCTGGGGCTGAGCCCAGAAAAACGAGAGCACCTCTTAACGGAGCCTCAGACCATCAGGGTGCCTAACTTGGCGTTTGCGCTTGAAATGGTTATCATATCCGTAATCAGGACGTCAAGCAACCGTAGTATGCTGATGAGTAAATTAAGGTATAACAGGCGCCACAGTAGTGCCATCTTCAGTCTGGCGCATAAGAGGTCATATTATGGATCAGTGCAGCGAAAAATATCTATAAGCAGAGTTCCCACGAAAAAATCGAGCTCCCGAGGCAGTACTTGTTGAACGCTGCCGAAATTCTCACATGTTTTACGAAGCTGTGAACATTAGCTCCAGTGGCGCGACAAGATGAAAAGTTTATCCCTCATCATTCTCCCTTTTTGCGATACTTTTTATTCCTTAAAAGGCTCAGTACTTCGTAATTCACACACTACCGGCCATTTTTACTGGAATTGTTCTGGGGAGTAGCGATGAGTCACCAAAGTCCGCCTAGCGACAGAAATTGGCGTCCATTAAGCACGTCGTGTGGCGCTTCTTCCAAGGGAGGTCCCCTCAAAGGGCCCCCTCAAGCTGGACACGTACCCACCCAAACGTCCGTCGCGCCCTCCCATCCACAAATATCCGACCGATGGTGATGCTTGTGTCGCTTTCTTTGCAAAGTATAACACAATGTATAGCGAAGGAGTTCTGCGGTGCTGTATGGATATATGAGTGCATACACACATCCGTATCTACCGTAGCGATTATTGGCACGATGCCAACGGGAAACTCGTCCGAAACTGCTTTCTGAGTCGCGTAGGATAAAGGCTATTTTTGCAGATTCTTGACTGTTTCACTCAGCTTTTTCGCCATTTTACCCCTATGTAGCACCCCTGCCACTATTTCTGAGAAAGGATCAAATTATCGTGCCTTATGTCTTCAAGCGAGATGGTGTCAAGCTGAGATATCTGGAGTACTATTTTTCTACAAATGAAAACTCGTTTTATTCTTCTTTGAACTGAAACTTTAATATTATAGAGAGCCATCTGCACACTTCACACATATGTACCTAATTAGTATCACATACAAATCTCCAGTAATAGCAGAAAACAAGGAAAAGTTGCTTCTTGCTTCACAGAAACACGAAGTATGATCTCGAATTGTGAACCGTAGCAACGGGGATTGCCAAAACACTGAAGCGCAATCAGACTCGGAACCCCCCGAGATGCGGTAGGCGTGGCTGCGTACCTCAGCTAAATGTGGCGATGGATTCCCGTTTCAGGACAATTGTGGTCATGCCTTTGTCCAGCACAGGACAGTGGTTTCGGAAAATGTCCTACGAGTAACCCGTTCCCTGCAGTGTTCAAAAGCCGCACCTACCCCGTCTCATAGATAAGTAGTGTATGTTTGTACTGACTTGAAAATTTTTCCTGCAAAACACCTGTTCTCATTATTGGACAACAATTTCAACTCTTCTGAGCTTCATGATTGCGTCGAACATGACTATCATGAGCGGCATGAGATGCGAACGCCTTTCCACAATATGCACACTGAAAACAGGAGAGTTTTATCAGAAATGAGAAAGAAAATGCAGATCGTAAAGGAAACCAGATTATTCAATCTCTCACCTTGAATGGTTTTTCACCGCTGTGCTGTCGCGTATGTGTGCGAAGTATGGACGACGCAGTAAACGCCTTCGGACAAAATGCACATTTGTAGGGTCGTTCGCCAGAATGCACCCGGAGATGCTGCAGAATGAGTAACTTCAGTTTTCACAGCAATAATATGACTTGATGAAAACACAAATTAGTGCTCAGAAGCATACAGCACGATAATTTGGTACTCGGTACAAATGGTAGCAGGGGTGCTATGCAAAGGGAAAATGGCGAAAAAGTGAAATAAAACGGCCAAAAACCTGCAGGGAAAGCCTTGTTCTACACGACTCAGAAAGCGATTTCGGACGAGTTTCCTGCTGGCATCGTGCCAATACGCGCTACGGAACACACGGCCTCATGTATGTACTCATATATCCATGAGCACCGCAGCCGCTTCGTACAATTATTTCTGCTTCATATTATGCATCGCAAACGAAGCAATACAAGCATCAGCATTGCTCGGACGTTTGTGAGCGGACCAGCCGGTGAGCGTGCGGATGGTTATGATCGGCTTTTAGGGCGTTGTAAGGATACCTTTCTTGGGATGGCGCCACGCAGCGCCTGCTTTTTGCTGGGCGTGTTAATCCTACACGTATAGGGGATTTGTCGTCCCACTTGGCTTTAACTACACATTTTGCCATGAAGACTTCTCCTAGTGCAGTTCGCCGATGGGGAGGGGCATTCCGCACTGTCGCTACCTCACTAGTTCCGGTTTACAAGTTCCTGTCTGGTGAAACCTGTCAACTCTCGTGAAGCTATAGCAAGCTCGTTGAGCCACCTTGATTGAACCTGTCAACTTTTGTAAGCTCGCGAAATGGTTCTCAAGATCAGTCGACATGTCGCTGAAATAGCAAAATTGCAGAATGCCCTCCACCGTCGCCGAACTGCCCCCGGATAATAAAAAGATAAACATTAGTGATACCTTGTTCAGACTGCTGGATTGGCTAAATGCCTTGCCACACACTGTGCACAAATGGGGTCGGTGATTCTCGTGCACATGAAGAACGTGAATGCGAAGTCGGTCCTTTTTTTCGAACGATCTAAATAAACGCTTTTCCAGGTGGCTCGATTTCGTGGCCGTTTAGCAAGTACTAGAGAATGTTTACACATCTCTGTAATATTACGATCGCGCAGCACTTACAGTATTTGTCCTGAGAGGTTTTGAAAGCGTGTAACGGCGGTACGAGATTTCAAGAGCACTCAAAACTATTCAGGTGAACCGTAGGAAAACTAAGTTCGCAGGTCATAGTTCCCTTTCTAACGGAAGGAATGGAATTGTGCAGAAGGTTTTTGCATGGGAGTACTCTCTCCACCTTGGTAACGATTGTGTGCTGACGAAGCAAGTAAAAGTAGGTCTTTTTTTGTTATAAAGTGGCGGCCCAGTTCGGTTACAGGGGGGGGAGGCATTTCGCCCTTTCAAGTTTCACTTGTTCCAACTTACGAGTCTCAATCTAATGAACCCAGTGAACTTTTGTGAGGCTGGAGCAATTTTGTCGAGCCGCCATGGTGAACCATTGAGCTCGTGTAAGCTCGTGAAATACCTCTCTAGATGGCTCGACACGTCGGAAGTAGCAAACGTATTAGCAAATGCAAAAATGCCCCCTCCCTCCCTCCCCTCGCTGAACTGTCTACCAAAAGCTATCAGTAGAAGACAACTGTGTGCAGTTACCTTTGACAGATCGAACAAGGGAATTTCCTGTCGCCATTGTCGACGCACCGTGTATATTTGAGATGTTTATCACGATAATAGGAATAACTGAAGAGTCTTCCACATCGTTCACACGAGAAGCCATCTGTGCTTGTAGTGAAATCGGCCACCACTCCTGAAAATCTTGCTCTTCAACCAGGGGAGCGCTACAATTCAAAGGCAAGTTTCACGATGAATTCACAAGGTGTGTGGGCTGAATAGGCCTATCAGGACAAAATTTCTGCCTTTGGGAGGCGCTGCAAGACCCCTCCCCAATGAAGGTGCCCTTATAGCGCTCTATAAAGCTGCAACATGTCGACCCGGATGTCAGCGCACTCGCTCGCCCCTGTAGCCGTTTGGCATTCAGGCCAAACATCGACGCTGATTCTTATCGCTTCATGCATGAAGTACAAATTGTATGGAGCTTTGTTACATGGATGTATGAATGAGAGCACGTCCTGGAACAAAGAAAAACTTTGGGAAAACACGACTCTCCTTCCTGCTTCCTTCTCTGAAACCCCTGGCTTCCCCATCATATCTACCAATTTCCGAATTTCGCCAACTCCCCACTCCTTTTTCGGTTTTTCTGGAATATCTCGAAAAATTTTTTGTTTTTTCCTCAAAAATTCAATCCATTTTGGGAGAAAATTTTTATCAAAGCCGCAAATTTCTCTCAAAGGCAAATACAACCCCCTCCCCTCTCCCAACAACGAGCCAATAGCAAGCAAACACGACCCCCCCCCACCCACCGCGTATACCGTTCGTGTGAAACAAGAGAAATCAACTATTGAAAAAATTTTCTCACATCAGGTACGACCTCACCTCCCCCAGCAACCAAACACGCTCCCCCCCCCCTGCTGGACATACCCGATATACGACGTGAATACATATGTGAAGCCGTTTTTGGCACTATGACAACGATCATCTCGTCCACAAATGCTCGTCAAATTATGTGCAGAACAAAGCTTTTTTGCAGGTTTTAGGCTTTTAGCCTCGCTATTTTCGTCATTCTGCCACTATATAGCACCCCCGCTACTATTTCTGAGCAAGTACCAAATTATCGTGCCTTATGTCTTTAATGAAGTCATCCACATTGGCAGCATTTGAGACCGATTATGATGCAGCTGGTTGACCTCTTGGCTAACGCGGCAACCATATTATGTCTCGATAGGAGCCCATTGGATGTTTGTGTGGTAATTCAGCGCGAAATTGGACATGTAATGAGCTCTTCTCTATGTAAACCCTAGTGGATTACCACGTGACTGGTATACGGTAGCTCTTAGTTAACATTCCTGCACATAAGCTATGCGACTGCCAATGATCTGATTAAAGACTTGAGTGGGATAGATACCTGATGTCAGTTTCATGTCAATTGAAAGATCCACGGGTTCTTTTTTCTCAGTACCACTCGTGGTTGATGGCGACGAGTTCGCTTTGAGAATAATTTCATCTCCATATCGTATAGCACGTCTTACAGTATCTCCGTCAACGTTAGCGTTCGTGGAATCCTCACGGATCACGGACCGCCACGATGTTGGCAGCTGAAAAATCGCGGTGAATCCTCCTAGAAGAGCGAAATTCAGAATCTGACCACAACAGTGAAAACTCGATTGGCGCAGTTCGGTGACGGGGTAGGCATTTTGCGCTTAGTTACTTTCCAGCGATGTGTCTACCGGTCTAGACAGCCTCTTCTCGAGTTGACAGGTTTCACCATGATGGTTCACAGGTTTCACCACAGTGAGACATGTAAAGCAGAACTAAGGGAGCAATGATAGTACAAAATGCCCCCCCCTCCCCGTCGCCGAACTGCGCCAACTCAATTACACGACAACTGTGACCGTCGTTTTGGTTTTGCCACAACTGCAGCAAGTGCAAGCACACATTCATGGGTGGCATCTATTGATTTTAATTGTTCGTTTATGGTTTAAACGACAAAAACAACGAGGTGAGCCAGCGAGTTATATAAAGGGAAGTGGATGATAAAATCACAAGCGTGTAGGATGAATACTCCCAGCAGGTTGTGCGTATAGACGCAAGCCGCTTGCAAGGACGTCTTTTACAAAAGTACCTGGTTGTTGGTCACGATGCTAGTGCGAGAACTCGTTCTTTGGCGTGCAAAACAAGGGATTTTTCGCCAGGTTCAACAACGTTTGTATTCACTCTTTTCGTTGATTTCTCCGCCCTATAGCAGCACCCCTTGCCTACTATTTCTGAGCAAGCACCATTATCGTGGCCTTTATGCCTTCGAAACAGTAATACTTCGCTTTCTGTCGGAAAACGATATTTTGTTCATGCTTGCGAACAGCAATGTGAAAAGTATTATCGTAAAATTATTTGCTTTAAAATGACATTCTCAGAGGGTATCTGGTTTTTTTGCTGGACTCCTCATGGTTTCTGATGGAGCCCTTGACTATATCCCATTGTTACTGAGATCGACATGAATCTTGTAATCGAACAAAGTATATTTGGCAGACTATTCCATCTACAGCTGATCTTGAGGCAATGAAACGACTACTTAGTAAATGTCGAATCACAACAAGCCTCATGAATTTACAGCCAGATATTCTTAACAAAAGAATTTTGGAGTAGTGGCTCGGCTTAATTGCGGGCGGTTGCTACCAGGCATCATTTGCGTTGGTAAGCTTGAGTGGGCAGTTCGGCTGAACGCCATCTCGAAGCCCTTCACGAGTGGACTCGGCTGCAGTAAAGTACCAATGCCCAGCATCGCACCACTTGCCTTTTACTCAGTCACTTAGAGATCTGCCCAAGTACTTCCGCAGAGCCCTTTTCAGGAAGATAGAAAATCATTCTTCAAAAGAAAATCATTCTTCAGACATCTCTAGTTACTTCCGAACTCCGCATGAAGTGAACGAACCTCCAAATGGGACCCTTTCGAGAAACCGTCTTCTTTCGTGCAAAGAACAACTGCGAACTCCAACGATCCCAATCGTATGGATATGAACATCAAACCAGAAACACGGTCGTTAAATTCAGTCGTGCTGGAAGTAACTGAAAGAAGTTTCTCGCAAAACTATACAACTTTCGAAATAAGACAAGGAAAAGCGGTAGGAAGGCGCTCAATTTTGGTCCAGAGGAATTCTCCCGCGTCCTATTTTCGTATAATTTTCAGATTTTAATGAGTCTTTGTGGCATGGTATGACACCGAAAAGTTATTCGCATTCAGAGCAGGACCAACTTGGGGTACTTCCAGCGGGGAGGGGGTCGTATTTGGTCGCTGAACTGAGCGAGGTCTTGTTTCTTCAGAGGAAAAAAAGCTTTTATAGTTGGTTTTTCTTGTTACGCAGTTCACATCGTTGGGAGAATGGAATTTAAGTGGAGGGCGGTAACATTTCTCTTCGTTGGTAGGAAGAGGGTCGTATTTGCCCCTGCTCTAGTGAACGGCGTTTGAGGACTATTACACAAGTACTTTTTTTGATAGTTGAAAATGATAGTGGTAGCGACCTCCCCCCCTCCCTCACAACGCTCAACGGCAACATTTTGGGAAAAACTGAAAATTTTCGGTAAGTTGCTGTAAAAGTGAGATTAAGCAAGATTGTTCGTAGGTTGTAGAAGGGAAGGGTCGTAGTAGAGGACAAAACTGGGGAGGTGGGGGGTCTATTTTTCCAAAGATTTTTCCCAGCGGAAAGACATGTTCTGTTCTTCAGGTACAAGGGAAACTAACAATACATAAAAGAGGAGGAGTGGGAGAAAATTGCGAAAAATAGCTATAAATGAGAAAGGGCACTCAGGCTCAAAGGGCTGTACATAATGTAATTACAGAAAAGACAGGTTGTTGACGTCTCTTCGTGACAAACCTGAACTATCAATAGGTTTTAGCTTAATTGCTGCATGTGGCTCCCGTATTGCGCGATCGTTTATACTCACGGCCAACTCAACTGGCGAGGTGATACTGGAAACGAGTTACCTGAACATATACGCTCGTGTACAGGGCAAATTGCCGAATTCACGCCACTAAATGTACCAAAGATAGAGGGCTCCTTCGGAAACATAAGGTGTCCCCATAACGGGAATGCAGCAAAATTGTCGACGTTAGACTGGAAGAAGTTCATTCCCGAACGTATTGGAAACATTTTCCAAATGTGGGAGAATATAAATAGGTCTCGCAGAAATGAATTATCCTAGAGACGAATGTTCATGCTACAGTATGACGGTGGGCGGAGCAGTCGTCAAGAGCCACAAAGGCGGGCAACGCTTTTCGGACATGACAGAGAGATGCTGCTGGTCCTGGGCGTGTGTGGATCACTAGCAGCATCCTCTGTCCTGATGCTTATACTGGTAGTGCCATAGCTCACTGATTACGCAAGTTGCCACTTTTTTTCGCCAGGAAAATTTAGCTATTAGCTTTAACGAAAAGTCGTGTGGTATTTCAAACGGAATTTCAACTGAGTATGCTCTTAAACGTCAGCTTCATTAGCACTGCATCAGATTGTCCATTCCTTCACCACATCAGGCAGCAGTCACTACAGTAACCCACCACGTATATTCACTCTTCATTAGCCTATTAATTAAAGGCAGCGCCCGCGCTCAAATTTGATGAGTATGCGGCTCAGGTAGTAATAGCAAGGTAGCAAGAAACCTATTAGTGGAGAAAAAATCATGCAAAATGCCTATAAGGAGTTTCATACTGAATGGCGATTGTACGTGCTTAAGGCGAAGGGAAGCAGTGGCTGCACGAGTTCCCACTTGTTTTTCAGCTGTTTCCCTTATCACCTCACTCTCACCATTAGGAGAGAGTTAGTAGAGGAACAACCGCACTACAAGGACGCCCAACTTCATTTCTAATGGTCGCACTATAAGGCGACCATTAGAAATGAAGTTGGGCGTCCTGGTCGCCAGGTGGGCGGGGCGGTCGACTCTACTAGCTATCCTCTTGCCTTTGTGAGATGAAACTAGTACGTACTGCATCCTTAGAGGGTTATGGTATCCAGAAAGGGCGTAGGAACATCAAGTGAACGTGGACGCTGTTTTTAAGTTGGAATTCTGGAAGAGGCGAACAATACCACCTTCAGAGCCTTTTAAGTCGCGACTTTTCTCCTTTCATAGATCTCCAGCGCGGAGACGTATTTGGTCGCCGGTGGGAGGGCTTCGAAAATTTTTTCGACAGTTCACCCCTCTTGTTACATGGGCGCTACTCGAACTGGGAGCATACTAAGGGGAGATTGCCTTTGAGTTAAAGTTGCTGCGCTGGAAGTTGGGTAAAATTTTTGCTTCGGTTGTTGGCTTTTCGCCTTTTTACCGTTTTGCCTGTTCTATATATTCCCGCTAAACGGAAAACCTTAAAGGCGGTTGACTCGATAAACCCCCAGAGTAGTATTAACCTCATAGGACGGAACTCCGCGCCACTGATCAGCGCTGCGTAGCGCCTCGGTACTCGACAATGTCTTATCAAGCCGAAACATGCCGAGCGCCCGTCCGCCCACAATGGACGACCTACCTGATGCGTTTATTGCTTCATTTGGTAACATATGAAACGAGTGATTGATATGAAGCGGCCATAGTGCCGCATGGATAGATGGGTGGATACGTGCTTATCTACCGTAGCGGTTATTGGCATAATGCCAACGTGAACTCTGAGCCGCGTGGAACAAAGGCTTTTTTCCGCGGAACTTCGACCGTTTCTAGACCAGCATTTTAGACCGAGTACCGAATTGTCGTGCCTATGGTGCCTAAGCCATCAATAAAAAAATTGGTAGAAAATTGGGACAATCTAGGAAACTTCAGGAAACTAGGAAGTTGGTAGTAGGATGGGGAAGGGGGTGTCGTGGGGTGGAAGAGGGGTTGTACTCCTCGAAAATTTTGGAAATTTTCGTCGGCAGAAGGACGTGCCCTGTGTGTGAATGAGTGTTACTCAATCCCAATCGTCATTTGGGCGCGGTGTTGCACTGCGCTGTTGATACACGAAATCCCTCGAGTTATGGGTCCTCAGCGGTTAGTAGGGCTGGAATAGATACCAGTATTGCATTAATGATTTGGCTCTCGCTCTAAATGGAACCGAAACTTGTGTGTTTAAGAGTATAAACAGTTAAGCTTTTTTTAAAGTGATCTCTACACAAGTGATTCCGAATTCACATTACTTTGACTGTTAACACTCCATGAATCCTAGAAGTGATTTTTATGTACAACCGTGGTGAGAAACACGCCGTGGTTTCGCGTTCCAGCATACGTCTCTACCTGCGACCGCAGTGACTGCTAGCAGAAATGGAACGGTGAATGGTATGAATAAAGAAACTGGGAGTGTTTCCCCTTGATGGACTGCAGGACTGCACTACACGTGCTTTAATTCCACAAAGTGCTCCAATGACAACCAGGATTACGGTAAAACTCATTCGCACGGGCTTCCAAGTGTCTCTCGTGGCGGACATTGGACAGAGGTATCTAGTAGGGATGAGACGAGAGCAGAAAGGGTCGAGAGCCTGCCACAGCACTGCCGCATACCAATGCTATGCACATCGCTTCGCTTGCAGCGCCTAATTCGCCGCGACTGGGGAGAAACGCTCCACACTAAGAGGACGTTAGTTCGAGTTCGAAGTTTGTGTTTGAAGTCATGGCTAGATATCTTTTGAATGGATGCGTTCATACACCTCTCCCCACCCCAGAGGGGAGCTTCCCAATCACGCTACCGTACCGTACCGTAATGCCCAGAAATTACCTCAAAATCTTTGGGAGCCGGAGTTAGTCTGAAGTTGTTCCGATTTTATGAGCAGCGTTCGGCTTCGCCTCCAGAAGATGGAAAACGTCTACAATTTTATTGAATACTGAGTGAAGTAGTGTGCAGTTTCAAATAAACGATCTCA